GGTGCCCAGTAACTGGGCGCCTTTGTCGCCTGCCCCACTTTATGGGCGCCAAATGTCGCCAGTTTCTGGGCACCTTTGTCGCCTAGTCTGGGGACAAACCTAAGGAACCTGCCTTCACCCATGGTCAGCAGCGACTAAGGCCAAAGTGCCCAGTATCTGGGCACCTTAGTCGCCCAGAAACTAGACACCTTGTGCATGCTCTGCCATGGGAGAGGGCCGGTTACTGCATGATTAGTCCACCCCGATGACTGGGCGACAAAGTGCCAGAAACTGGGCGACATTGGCCCCCTGGAACATGGGGCAGGCGACAAAGGCGCCCAGTTACTGGGCACCCTACATTTAGAGTGTAGCCGCACGTTTTAGAGACAGAGATGGATTCTCAGTTTGAAGAATTGCAAGTGGAGTACCCTTCCTTTCTGACGTTGGTAGGAGAGGCCAGAAAGCCCTCTCCGTATGCATTATGTGGGCCCATTGCTACCGAGGCACCCAAAAACGTTTTCGGAACTATCGGATTGTTGGCGAGGGTTTACATCTCACGCCCCTCTGGGAACCTCTTGTGATGGCTTTGGCACAGTCATGTTCGCCATCGCCCTGACATCGGCGGCTGTTTTTGGAGCCACCGCCGCTGTGGGTAGGGCGTGGCTGCGTCGCGCTCTACAGAAAAAAGCTAATTTCCGTTTGGTCTAAATTCCATGTTTAGATGGAATACACACACAGACTCATCCGTATCCAGCCCCCATTGAGTGCGGCGTGGTATCTCATGAGTGGGGCTGATAACGGCATCGAGCTTGGACAAAAGCTAGCCGATGGATTTATGGATATGATTACAACGGTTTATGAACTCTATGACTGCGTGGTGGAGTCGTCCCTTGAGATTCGCGCCGTTATGTCGTCTGAATCCGGCTCCGAGCTCATTTTAATTTTTGAGCCGGAGGTCAGTGGCGAGGTTGTCGTGATGCGGCACGCGGAGTTGCAGAGTGGTGATGCTGTTGGTGCGTTTGTCAGTGAGGAGATGTCAACGTTTCGGTCACTTGGGCTGAACGTCACCTTTCTCCGGTTGCTTCCTTGCAGGAGCGTATGCCGTCTTCACAACCGAACAGGAGTTGGAAAGTTTGACTCTAAGGGTCATGAGAAGTGTAAACGATCAAGACTACTTTGTGTCAGACATCTATGCCAAACTCAACGAAAGATACCCAACTCGTGGTGCAAAGTGAGTGAATCTGTCAACTTGATATACCTTGATATACCTTGAAATACCAGGACCCGTCGTCTCCATTCGGCATTGTAAAGAAATTGTCACCTATGTATGTAAACCAGCGGACCTATGACCAGAGATTTAATTCTCACGGTGCGTGGCCTGTGTCAATAATGTGTGACAAGGGTGACATGGTGGGAGCTGGCCTTTTTTACACAAAACTTGGGGATCGGGTGCAGTGTGCCTTTTGCGGCGTCAAAATTGATGGCTGGTACAGCAACTCGGATCCGTGGGTGCGCCACGCCAGGTCGAGGGCCAAGGAGCATCCCCCGACCTGAAATTGGCGCTGTATACGTTGTGTTTTTACGTGCGGAGTGACATCCGCGCATATGTTTTAACCGTGCGGGGGAGTCCTTTTGTAAAAAAAATGATGTTGATGCTGTGCAGGCCCCGCTGCCGACACCTCCGCCGGCCGTTGTGGAGCAGCCGTCTAGCTCTATAGATAAGAGAAAGTGTATCATGTGCTATGACAAAACCTTGAGTGTGACATTTCTGCCGTTTGCTCATTTATGCTGTTGTGATAATTCCGTTTCAAATCGTTCACAGGGTACCTCATTTAAAGAGGAATGCCGCCAGCACCTAAAATGCCGTCCAAGCGCCGCTCCGCGCTCCAAGAGCCATTAAACGGCGATTTCTGAAGAAAACTCGTCCTGGAATGGAGGACCGTAGCTACACTCAGGTGATCTTCCCCGCTCTGCTGGTGACAGCCAACGAAACCCTACTGCACATCGCGTGCAGCCTTCGCCTAGACCCGCATGTGAGGCATTGCCAGCAGTGTAGCAGTGCACTGCTGGAGGTAGTTGTGCGGGGAAACCCAAGGTGGCGGGACCGGACAACATCCGTGTTGGTCTTAAACCTCTAAAATGGAATGGGCTCCGGGGTTCTTTTTGGCCGATAATCATTAACCCGGTCCCTATCTGCACTGCTCAGAACGAAGGGAAACACCACCTCGCCATTGCTCAGCCCGCGCTGAGAATTGACGATATCCCACAGTGCATCACACCAGAAAATTCTAAATTTTCATTGGAGAGACACTTGCTGTTTTTAAAAGGCGTCTTCCAACACTGACGCTTCGGCCCAGTGAATATTAGCATTCTAGATGGTCGTTTCTTGACGTGCACGCCCGATAATGACGCCCTTGACGTCCTAATGGTTGTAGAGATGGACTACTTGCCCTATCGGCGTCAGCCGTACTCGTCTGCCGACCCTGAGACGCTGCAGGCCATCCGCAGCGGGCGGCTAGCAGTCAGCACGCCGTCCTACTGGCGGATCCTGGAGATGGCTGAAGAGTGGTGGTACAAGCCGGTGCCCCGGTCCCCGTTAACTAAATTCCATTCTTTTGTTGCGGGCTATTAGGGCATCCAGCGTGGCTGCGGTGCGGCGCGTGGATCTGCATCTTGTTGGCAGTGATCCAGCCGGCCCTCCCAGCCATCCGCGGGCGGCCCGTCCTGGGCGGCAGTCAATCGCCGCAAAACATCACAGCAGCCGCCATCGAGCTGCCTGATCAACTTGATGCGGGCTGCCTCTTCACGTTCAAAGCAGACTTTTACTACTCTTTGAGTGACTGGTTACTTGTGATTCGCTTGCACCGGGTGGACCGATACTTGGAAAAGATATAGTAGTGATGGTTGCTGCTACCCCCCAAGAATTGTGAAAGGGACTCTCCTATCCCACCAGAGAAGGGCGCATCTGAATCTAAAGGTTATCAATTTGAACGTACAGGGGCTGCGTTCGAAAATATCTGCAGAAATCGTACTTAAGCGCCACCCGACGAAGGACTGGCATCACATCGGCGGCCAGCAGCACCAGTGCAACACCTCTCCAGCCAGCCCGAAGACCCTCAGCCAGCTGGAGGCCCTGCCCGTACTTTGCCCGAGACTCTGCCCGGACTCTGCTCGACGCCGCCGCTAAGGGACTTAGCCGCAAACGCAGCACCGACCCCACCGCCGCTGTAGGACTTAGCCGCAAACGCCGCACCACCCCGAACTGCAGGTAGGCCCACGCGGCGGCACAGCGCCTTGTCAATGTTGTGACCATCGCTTAAGTGGGTTTCAGTCCACAGCCACCATCCGGGACTTTGCCGAACGCCGCATCGCCCCGAACAGCAGGTAGGTCCGCGCCAAGCCGCGCCGCGCTTTCAGTGTCAGTGTCGTGACCATGACCGCCGCTAAAGTGGGTATCAATCCGCAGCCGCCGCTATAACGCCCCCCACCTAGACGCTCACGACTCGCCGTCCGACTGCCACTCTCCTCGAGTCCGAGGCACAGGCCACCTCCTACCACCAGCTGCGCTCCCGACACTCGGTAATATGGAGCGCCCCTTCGAATCTCTCCCAACCGAAATTATTTTCCACATTTTCGGCTTCCTGAATATTGTTGACATAGTGCAACTAGGCTCGACAAATCGACGACTGCGCGACCGCGCAAAACAACTTGTGCACACAAAACCGAGACCAATTGAAATCGACGAGCTTCCACAGTGTGTTAGCCCGTAGGTGGGCGTAACCGACAAACTCCAAAGGCACCTTACTATGCTGAGATGTCTCGTCTAATATTGGAACATTGCAGAAGCACACATTTTTCATTAAGACGCACGCATTGTGCAGCACACGCTTGCATCGCTTGCCAGATCACAACCGCACCTTAAATTAATTTGCAGAATGTTGCACCAAGCGCTCAAACAAAAATTAAAAATTAATACTGTTTCGGACCTCTGTTCATTTGCGCACTCACTGGGCGTGAGACGCAAACCGAAATTTCATAAACTTGTTTTAGAAAGTTCGAAAGAGACTCTCACGCGTAGCTTTGCGCCCATCCCCTATTAAGTGGAGTATTAAGATTATCACCTCAAAAAATTATTATCCATTAGTTTTCACATGTCTTGTTTGACCGAGCCCCTTAAAAACAGTTTTAATCTTTTCTTAAGATTAAACAAACCAACTTTGTAGTTTGTCAGAATCTACATTAAGAAAGAGACGGGCGTGCCACACTTTGATGGCTTTATAACGGCCAAGGCCCCCAAAATTCACTGGCCGACTGGCCGCTTTAGAACCAATTTACAACTAAACAAAATCTTATCACAATAAAATTATTTTCAAAAACGTCTTAACCATTTCAGGTCATTTCCACATCGGAAGCAACCACCGCACACACACAGCCGGCCAAAAGGTACGACCATGACTCCAATTCGAGTCTCTATTGAGGCAAACGTGGCCTGTGGCAAGTCCACACTCCTTGACAACTTGGCGGGTGATTCCCAAATCTATACTATTAGGGAAAAGGTTGGACTGTGGAAGGATTTGGCGGGGATTAACATATTAGGAGACGCGCTGGCACAGGTCGATGCAGACGTAATAACAAACTTTCAACACCTTTGCTTGGCCACATCTTTTTAACCACACTACGACATGGGCGAAAAATGCAAATTAATTGTTTCTGAGCGATGTGCTCAAACCCAAAAACAAGTGTTTTGGAGGTTGTTAGTTGTTGGCAAGCAAAGGCCTGCTAAAACCATCGACCCACGCCACGCTAGAGTTTATCCTGTTTGACGCCCACGACCCCATAAATTCAAGATATCCGGATTTTTATATTTACCTGCGTTCTAGCCGCAAAGTGTGCTATGAAAGATGTCGGCGTAGAGGCCGCACCGAAGAGGCGGGATATACGCTGTCATTTTTTAAACATTTACACCGCCTCCACGAAGAGTGGATGGATCGGCTAGTAACCGATTTCCACGAGAAATGTGGTACTCCCGCTCCACGTGTCAAGGTGACACGAACACGTGCACTGGACAATCGGCCAAAAGTGGCCGATGCGCACAAAGGTGACCCCAAACACCTGCACCTCTTAGAAGTAAACAAGTAAACAATTACGATGCAGGTGCAGGGGTCGCCCACGCCTGGTAGTGTGCCAGCACGCGCAGCTCCAGCCGAGCTGCGCGCCGCGCCCAGGCCTCGCCCACTCAAAGCCCGATGCATATATGATGGGCCACGGGCCGAGGCGAGTTAGTTCAGCTCCGACTCTTGTCCAGTGCAGTGTTTGCAAGTCTGTGCCCCGAAGCCCTGAGAGTCAACAACGTGCGCTCCGAATAAACACCGCTTTTGTAAGTAGAAGTGTTCTCACTGTCAAGAACCCTAAGTGCCCCTAAGGACTGGCCCCTCTGTACTGTAACTGCTAGCAACCAACATCTACACAGACAAGGGAAACCAGGCTCCACAGTGGTGTCAGGTGTTTTCTGACAGTGTACGAGCGGCACGCGGCCCTCCTGCCTGGCAGGGCCGGGCACGGCACGGCACGCACTGCGAGCGGACCAACTCGACCAATGACTAGCTGCACAAATGGACTACAACGGAACTGACCTACGGACGCTGCTGGCCAGCTACCCGCTGGACGCGAAGAGAGAATACCCCCGTTTCGCCGTCATCTACCTGGCAAAAATCAACAACAGCACGTCTCAATTGAGCTTGGTGAATATCGTCGAGAGCATAAACCACCTGCTTTCGCGTTTCCACACGCACGTCGATAAGAAGTGGACCCAGGGAAGCTACAAGGAAACTTTCGTAACAGTCGGCAACTCTTTCAACGGACAATACGCAGCCGAGGACAGACCGCACATCTATTTTGTGGAAACAAGAGAGGTGATACTCAAGAGCCAATACCAAGGGCCTAACGACGTTTTCTGGTTTGACATTAAGGCCCTGACGAGAGAGTGCATCGTCCTCGCCCAAAGTCTCAACGAGACGGCCGTAAAAGTCGACCCACTCCTCAACAGAATCGCCCAGCATCGACGAGACAAGGAACAAGAAGAAGAGCGCCAAGCAGAAGAGAACCGGCGGCAGAAGGCAAAGGAAGAGCAACGCCGCGCAGCAGCACAAAGACAGCGCGAGGAACAGGAAGAAACGGAAGCCAGACTCAAACGATACCGACAGCAATTAGTCGACGCTGAACAGCACCGCGCCTCCACGCCAGGACACAGCCCCCAGACCAGTCCCCACAAGGGCCAGATAGAGCGGACAACCGAACAGACACCGATAGAAGACGATTTCACTGCAGAATTTAAACGTAAACAGGAAGATTACAAACGAGTAGAGCAGCAGATCGGCGCCCGACTACAAGAGGCACTCCGGCAACAACAAGAAAACAACAAAGAAACATCAGAGGCGCTCACCGCGGAGGAAGAACAGGCAAAACAGCTGGCGCTCGACCTAGCACTACAAGTAAACGAGCGAGAACTAGCGAGCCTGTACGCAAAAAGGGAGCAGCACAGGCAGAAGCTCGACCAGCTCAAGGCGGAATACGCACAGAAGATACAACATCAACAGCAAGTACAGTACCAGCAGCCTCGTCAAATGGAGGGCTCCATTTCCAATGCGGCTTGTATCAACTCCATTGATATCTACTCAGGCGACGGAGATCCGACGCCAATTACTGAATGGATCCAAGGAGTGGAAGATGCAGCCAATTTGGCACAATGGAACGATCGCCAGAAATGCCAAGTAGCTCGGCTCCGCCTCCGATCGTCTGCGCGCGCTCTACTTACTACTAATCCAGATTTGGTGCAATTGTGTGACTGGAAGGAATTTAAATCGCACCTGCTTGCAAGATTCAAGGAGCAAGAAACAGCAATTTCCCTGCACAACAAGTTGGGCAACTCCAGGCAACAAAAGGGTGAGACGGCCCGCGCTTTCGCAGTGAGGGTTCAGCAGGTAGCACAGCGGCTGAACGAAGCCAGAGGGCTTCCGAAAAACGAAAGCGAAAGACTGCTGAGACGGCGACTGCTTGAAGCAGACTGCTGCGCCGCTTTCCTGAACGGACTGCGCTCGGACATCCGGAATTTGGTGAGAGTGCAGGCACAGAAGGAACACGGCCTCGCCGATTTGATCCGCATTGCCACCTCAGAAGAGACCCAGCAAGCCGCAAACGGCGAGACACCAGAGCACTCCCTCGCGGCGCTGCAAATCAGCGACAGCCAGCAGCAGGACAATCGAAAGTGCTACAACTGCAATCGGCCGGGTCATTTCCGCAGGGACTGTACAGCGGCTGGCGGCGCGACGAGGTCACTGTACCAGGGGCCCCGACGCCCCGCGCCGGAACCGGTCCGCGGCAGACCGGCGGGTCAATGGCACCAGGCCAGCGCACAGCGCGGCCGGGCCTCCAGCCCACGCTGGGAGCCGCGGGGCCGGAGCACCAGTCCTCGATGGCAGCAACGCGACAATGGCGCGCGCCGGCAACAACGGCAGCGGTCAATGAGCCCAGGCAGGCGCACAGAACGAGACCAAGGTCAAGACTGGCGCAGGGAGCGAAGGCAGGTCACGTTCTCATCAGGCCGCCAGGGCGACAGGCGCCGTCCGGGAAATGCCAACGGAACGCGGAATGCGCCGCGGCCAAGTTCCAGGGGAAGATTCCAGCGGCGCTAGAAGAAGACGGAGAACCGGAACCGGAAGAGAATCAGATCAAAATTAACACAACCACCAATTTCGATTCGCAAAATTCCTGTGCCAATTTGGTCAGACTGGCAATAAATAGACAAAATTATTGGTTCCTGGTCGATACAGGAGCAGAAGTCTCACTAATCCTAGAAAAGTGTGTTGAAAAATACACACCGAAACCCGCCAAGAATATAAAGTCCGTCACAGGATCGGTAGTCCCAATCCTGGGAGAAGTTCAGTTGGAAGTTGGACGAGGCAGGCGTTCCCTGCTCTTTACATTCCTAGTTGCTTCCAACGAACTCGCAATAAGTGCAGACGCAGTCATTGGAATAGATTTTCTAACTCATCACAAATGCAAAATTGACCTAGAGAAGAAAACTCTGAAGAGCCCCGGGGGATTCTCAGCACAATTACACCCCGTTAAACAAGGTTTCGAGTACAGACTCGGCAACATTACCTTTAGGGCAGCAACTGGAGCAACGGAGGACGGTTTACCAGTTTGTAAAATGAAGACCTTCGTAATCAGCGACGGCCAGGAAGAACGCCAGGGGCGTAGGCCACCGGAACAACTCACAGTATGGTTCACAGCGGAAACGGAAATCCCAGCGTATACAGAAGCATTACTAACAGCCGCGACCAACGCGCCGATCGGACAACAGTATGTCATCGCGGCGGAATCACTCTCAAATCACTGCGCGGTAGGACGCCTGCTAACAAGGGTCCTAAGGAACCGCACAGTCCCAATCCTTCTCCTCAACGCGACGGCCCGGCCGGTACTGTACAAAGCCGGCCAGACAGTGGCCGCGCTCTGCTCCGCGCGCCGGGCCACGCCCAGCGACGTCGCCACAGACGGTGACGCAACGCGGCGCCCCGCCAACGCGGCTGGCACGGCGACCGGCCCACACCAAACAAGGCGGGACGAGGCCGGCCCCGCGCGGCCCCGCCACACCGGAGAAACGAGCCGTGCACTCCAAGCCACAGAGGACACAGGAGAAGCAACGCATAGACTTGCGGCTATGAAAATAAACAGTGAACTGTACCAAGAAGACGACTCGTACGAGCTGCTACCATTGGATTTAATACGAACAGAAAAGGATACGGAAACAAGGAAGACGGTGAGGGAACTAATTGAGGCAGTTCAGCTACCGCACCTGCAGGTTACAACAGCACAACAATTGCGCAACATTCTAATGGAATTCCAAGAACTCTTCGACTTATCACAGCTCGTCGGCGCTCCGAATTTTCGAGTGAGGATCCCACTCAAGACGCCGGAAGACCAGGCAATACGAGTACGTCAATACCCACTAGCGAAGGCACACATCGATTTTCTCAAGACAGAAATGAAAAAAATGGAGGAACTCGGAGTGGTCAAGCCATCCACTTCCGATTTCAACTTACCAATACTTTGTGTCAAGAAGGCCACACCGCCAGGACAGCCACCGAAATACCGGTGGGTCCTAGATGCACGGCAAATAAATCTTGCATTAAATGACAGAATCTACGTGGAAATTCCGCGGATACATGATGCACTGGAAAGCCTAGCTTTCAGTGAATATTTCACAACATTGGACTTGAGTAATGCATTCTACAACCTCAAGATACACCCACAGGACACTCATAAATTGGCATTTACAGTGCCAACGGTTGGAAAGATGGAACTGTGTCGTTTACCTCAAGGTTTGAAGACCTCATCTTTCCAGTTCCAGTTGTATGTCAACAAAGTTTTGACAGGCCTAATCGGCTCGCGGGTGGCCTGCTACCAAGATGATATTATAATCTACAGCAGGACGGAGGAAGAACACCTAGAAAGCTTGAAGCAGGTACTGGAGAAACTCCACAAAGAAAACCTGCGGCTCAACATTGCCAAGTGTGAATTTATGGCTACAGATGTAAAATTTTTAGGGTTCAGGGTATGCAAGAAGGGCATATACCCCAACCCGGAAAAAGTAGAAGCGCTGAAGAAAATCAAAACTCTGCACAACGTCAAAGAAGTGCGCAGTTTTCTAGGGGCCCTGAATTTCTTTCAGGCGCACATCCGCAATTTTTGGACAATTGCGGAACCCCTAGTCGCCCTCACAAGGGATGACCCCGCGAAGAAGAAAAGGAAGGGGACAACCAATACGGCAGCCACACGGAAAGCAGCAAAAGTGCCGTTCTGCTGGGGCAAGGAGCAACAAGAAGCTTTGGATTACCTGATCAAAGCGCTCACGGAAGAGCCCGTCCTAAATCATTTCCCCAGATTTGATCAACAGTTTATTCTCCACGTGGACGCCAGCAATTATGGCGCAGGAGCAGTGCTACAGCAAGACCGCGAAGGGAAACCTTGCGTGATCAGCTACTTCTCCAGGCTTTTCAACAGTGCGCAGCGCAACTACACAGTGCTTGAGAGAGAAGCACTCGCACTGGTAATGGCACTAAAGCACTTCACCCACTATCTGCTCGACTCTTATCTGCCGGTAAGGGTGCTCACGGACCACAGAGCACTACTTTTCCTGCAAAGCTTCAATGAACCAATGAGCAGAATAGCTCGGTGGGCCCTTTTCATCAGCCAGTTCAAACTGGAAATAGTGGCAGTGAAAGGAGAAGACAACGTGGTGCCCGACTTCCTGTCAAGGGTAATTAGATCTATCGCTAAAAGGCAACAAGATGAGCTAGTGCCTCACAACCCTGACGTAGCAGACCTAACCCCCTACCTATGGGACACAGCTTACGTTAAGGTGCACCAGCAGCAAGACGACTTTTGCCTCTCCACGATGAAGAACCTGCAAAATGCAAGTAAGAAAGAAGAACTTGCCCACAAATTTGCGATCGGGCAAGATGGTTTGCTGTACCACACCTCTACTCATTACCAGCTCTGCGTACCAGCATCACTTCGGCACTATGTTACAAATTTGTGCCATGATGTCAAGACAGCCGGACATTACGGCCTCAAGCATACGGTACAGCGCATTCGACGCAATTTTTGGTGGCCACTACTGTCCAAAGATGTGGAACAGTACATCAAGACGTGTGAAGTTTGCCAAAAGCACAATCCAGGTGGACGCAAAGTAGCAGAAATGGTCCCCATGCCGATCCAGTCTGCGCCGTTCGAACGCGCCCACCTGGACCTCATAGGGCCATTGCCGAGAGACATTGACGGCAATCTGCACATCGTCTGTTACATCTGTGCTTTCAGCAAGTTCCTCATTGTCTTTCCGACGCCAACAATGGACAGTTTTACAGTCGCCACAGGCTTGGTGGATCATGCCTTCTCCAAATTCGGGCCACCTAGGGAGCTGGTTTCAGACCAGGCCCCGCAGCTGATAGGGGGCGTACTGCGTCAGGTCACCGACCTGCTTGGCGTGGCAAGACTGAAAACTACAGCTTATCATCCACAGAGCAATGGAATAGCAGAACGGTCTCATAAGGATCTAATGCGAGTACTGCGCACGCTTATCAGCGAAGACCCCCTGACATGGAGCCGTCACGTGCAAATGGCAGCCTTCGCGCACAACACAGCGATCCATACTTCCACGGGGGAAACCCCATTCTTCGCTGTGTTCCTGCGCGACCCATATCTACCGGAGGTAGATTTGTTCCAGCAGCAGCCATTGTACACAGAAGACTACCCCCACGTCCTGATGGCGAAGATGAGGGCCACCTACAAGAAGATACTCCAGGAGCTGCATTCAGCTACAACGAAGAGGGAAAGCTACTACAATAAGAAAGCAAAACCAACGGAATTTCAAGCAGGAATGAAAGTATTTCTACGAAGGGACCACATTGAAAAAGGATCCTCCAAGAAGCTATTGTCTAAATTTCAAGGGCCCTGGAGAATCCTAGAAATGACCAGCAAAGTCAACGCAAAAATTCGGTTAATCTTCCCCAAGAACACAACTGACGCAAAGCCAAGAATTGTCCACATCAACCGCCTGAAGCCAGCGCCCGACCGACTTCAACCAGACGGAAGCCTGTATGCAGGCCAGGAGAAACTACTGTGCCAAGACGACGACGGATCAACACAGGAAGCGACAGACCGGACAACAGACTCCGATCAAAAGACGGACGGCGACGGAAAGGTTCAAGGAAACGCCGGACCCAACGGGCTTGCCAACGAGCCAAACAAGACGGACCCTAACCTCGAAATGAAAAACGAAGACCACGGACGGGCACTTAGAAGCAGAGGGCCAGTGAATGATTTACCATGGGTTTCAGCAACAAAACGATTGTAATTAATTGAGCATTGTTGCGCCTTTTTCTCACTAGGGAGAGCAAAATGGAAGGACTGCCGGCAAGACTCAATGACGTAACGGAAAGCCTCCCGACGCGCCCGGGGGATGAAGTGTACGAGAGGCAGAATGCACTATTCAGGGCTGTCGTGCTTGATCGCCTGAGTGCTGACGCCCCGGAAGAGGACCAGGGCATCATTGAAGACCTCCCACAGATGGTTTCAATTCTTGTAAACCTGTTGACGGCGGTACTGAGGTCGCTGATACCAACAAGGAGTACCTTCAACACGCTTGTGGATAGTGTGGCCTCCGTCAAGAGGCTAATACAATCAATCATGACCGGACCGAGACGGACAGGACTACGATCACGCACGGCCGACGACCCTCCTCTACCGGCAATGGACTACCGGGGGCCCCCGATGCTACTGATGAAAACGAACGCCGACGCCCCGACACTGCTACCGATGTGGCGCCAACTGATTGAAGCGCTACTCGGACTGAACTTCCCGGACCACGAACTGCTAGACTTACTTCGTGTCCAAAGGATGCTCGAACTGACACGATGGGAGGGCCTACCGAACGACGACCAAGGACGTACCTTGCCGCCTGTGGACGACGCCGGTTGGAACATCCCGGGGCCATCCTCGGGAACCGACTACCCTCAGAGAATGCACCCTGTTGGCAACAACCAGGGCACGGTGGCGTTCTCCAAAAGGGGATGAATGCCCTGTCCAATAACCCGCCCACGGCCGCTTGACCAGACGGAAGACTACTACGGAACAGCACGAATGGACAAAGACTTGCCATACGACAGCTGCGACAGCGAGGTGGAAGTCCTAGAGCAACGAGCACCAACAGACTTCGCGGAAACTAAGACGGGAGAGACTCCAAGCCAACAGCGCAACCTCACGGACGATATACAGAACTATATATATCAGGAAGAGAGCGATGTGGACATAATGGATCGGCGGACTCCAATTTACGTTTACGACGGACCAGAAGCCATCATAACCGAATTTCACCCAGAAAACTTGGAGGAGAGACTACTTGCCGGACCACCACCCGCGGTGCCTATCGAACCACGAAGGCCGCGCCCTCTGCAGGAGACACTAGTGGCCTACATGGAGCATGGGCATCGCCGAGCCATGGAACTCGGGCATGCAAACATCCTAGGAACACTGGACAAACTGGTCCAGCTCATAGATGTTTTACGAGCAAGCATGCTCCAGACTGCCATACTGACGCCTGTCACCTACGTGACACTCGAAATTTTGCGCGAAATACTGAAGAGCATAGCAGAAGGAGAGGGCAGAAATGATGTCTACGTGCGAGAGCACGCAGACTTACCTATACCAACAATTACGGCAGAAGTCCTCATGGCCAGTGTGGCAGAACTTCCGGAGAACGCCCTCCGCAAGTTACAGAAGTACGTGCGCGCTTTGGCCCACGTAGGTTTCAACCGGTATGCCATGATGGCCATCAGCAATGCCCATACGCTGTTCCATGTGGCGACTCCGGCCAACAAACAACGGCTTCAGCAAATACCGGACATCAGCGACTCAGACACCCCCGGACGAGAACCGACTCGACAAACCGCCAGCAATCAGGAGACACCCACATACGACCAGACAGTAGAACCGACGCCACAATCTCAGACAGCACCATCACCCCAACTACCGGCAGAGGCAGTGCCTGAAATACCGATGACCACATCGCAAGAGAACCTGAAGGAAGAAATGCCAGACGCGCAGGAGCAGATTCCGCCAGCCGTCCCAGCCTCCCCCCCACATCAACTCGACCAAGAAGGGAACCGCCCAGAAGAGCCAAGGCCTCCACAGGCCCGCCGTTACAGAAAACGGCGCCCCGAGTACACCCACCATATGGACCTGCGCAGCAAAGCGCGCCCGAGACGAGTGACCAAAAACGAAAAACGCTAAAACGTGGCATTCCTTTTCCACAGGCCCCGACGGACGGACAGTCTACGTGACAACACGGACGCTCAGCATGTGCGGCATTTTGAGTTGCGTCCTAACATGCGCTCTCATAATAGCCGTCGTGCTCGTGGCCGGAGGTACGAGCGGCTGGACGAGCATCACGACGGAACCAGCCCACAATGGTACCGTGCTCCATCGCGTCACGAGAGCAACCCCGCCGAAGACCAGCTCAGCCAAGTCACCCGGACCGCCTACAACAACGACCACAACTACCACTACCACCACTACGACGACTACGTCAACCTCCGCTCCGCCCTCGTTGACCTCCGGGATACAATCGCAGCAATCAGGCGCCGCAAGTCAACCAAACCCTCCACTTCCCACAGCAGCGGCACTGGTGAAGGTACACACCGGCCCAGCGAAAGGAGGGATAGGGAAGAAGACTTTCACTACAATCAAGAAGGGACCTCCTTCCGTTCTAGGGACGAAAGAAGTGAACCTTGCCAACGGACCTTCGATAGAGGCGTCAGGGGAATTGAACGCAGGCAGCTTGTTTATTCGGACGAACAGCTTCCACATCTCCCTCAGCGAGTGGGTTCTCCTACTGAACATGAAGCGTGTCGACAAATACGAAGAGCACCTACAAGCTCTCACGGAACAACTGAAACCGATGGTTACCAAGGCCAGCACAGTCCCTGATCCCATTAAAACAGAGATAACGGGCACGCTCGATGAAATCTCAGGCATTAAAGCAGAAATTACGAATTTCCGGGACTCGATACCGCAGCAGAAACGCAGGCGAAGAGACACCGCAGCAGGCCGGAAGCGCAGATCAACGAACGCCCAGAAGGTAGGCAACCTACAGGGAGCCGACCGGCGGATGCCCCTCGTAGGAGCCACAGGCACGCCGCAGCCAATCGCCGCATCATGCGACCCTGTGAACGCGATCAACCTGTGTGCTCCCAGCTCCCTCTTTTTGCCAGTGCTCATGCCCGACGCACCTACAGAAATCAACTTGCAAATGGTGCGATGGCTGAAGATTTTCTACAGACGAGTCGAAAGACTAATGCTTTCGGACTTGCGAAACGGCACGCGGCTGTTCTCACCGGCAGCAATGTTTCCGGCACCGCCCCGGCCGTCCCCATTGGGAGTAGGCAGCCGGGACCCAGCACCCATCAGTACCAGACTACCCTACATGCCGGAGGAGGCGACAGCACCGGAAGAAACGGTCTCTTTCGTGCAAGAATACACCACGGTGAGGTCCCACTACGTGGACCCCTACCAAAGCACCACAACAGAGGCGCCTGCAGACACGGCAGACAAAGAGGAGTACGTGGACCCTTTCTCACGAAGGAAGAAAAGACACATCCCGGTAGTGATGTACACAGCAGCACCGCAAGTACCAGGAGTCAGCGCCACGCTGTTGCCGAAAACCAGCAACAATGCACCTCTAAAGCCACCCAGCCACGGCGTGGAACAAGAACCGGTTATCATCGTCTCAAGACCCTTGGGCGCTACGGAAGAGAACTCGACACGGCCAAGAAACGGATCGGCAACGCCCGATTTCCCGAACTTGGCGGACCCCAAGGTCTGGAACCCAGCATTTAACCCTCATGACCCTAGTGGCCTATGGCCCATCGACATGAACGGAACGGGTACAATCGACATAAGCGAGGCGCCGAGAAAAAACAGACGCAGTCTTCCCGAGCTGGTGACCAGAATTATTACCACCGCGATGAACAGGACGGACCTAGACAACGGAGGTCTGATCGCCACAGTAATCAAGCAGTCCACGCGCAAGAGGAGAGGCATGGTAAATGCAATCGGCACAGTAGGCAATTGGCTATTTGGCACCATGGACGACGAAGATCGCAAGAGAATCGCTGAGGATATGCTAAAATTGGGCAGTCAGACACAGCTTCTGACAAGGATTAACAACGAATTTGCGTCAAAATTAAATCTGACAGTGAAAACAATACTGGAACATGATATCCAGATTAAAAAGCTCATCAAGTTGGCAGCGACGGACTACGCATCTGCACGGACGACGGACATCACTTTCAGTTCGCTGATGCGAAACACGCACGCCACAATCGCCGCCATCAGAGCGGAAGTTTTGCTTTCATGACTGCATGGAGCTCGCCATAACGGAGGGCACGCTTACCTCGACATTCATCGAGCCCAGGAAGCTCCTACAGATCGCTCTGGGTTTGGAAGAGCAGGTCAAAGACTTCGGATTGACCCTTCCACTAAAACCAACAATGGCGAACATCCATGTATACTATGGAGCAATCACGACGCAGGCGTATCTGACAAAAGATTCTTTTACTCTGTTCCTACATTTCCCCCTGGTAATGAAGGACAAAGTCTTTACACTCTACAAGGCGCTACCCTGGCCAGCCCCTATCCTCAACTCCAAGAACTACCAGTTCTACCAACCGGAAACCGATTACATCGGCATCAATGACAAGATGGACGCCCATGTACTGCTCACGGCGGACGACGTGGACAAGTGTCGCCAATCCGAGATAACGGTTTGCAGCCCCACTGTTGCCATGCACGGCAAACAGGGGTCGTGCTCGATGGCACTACTGACATCCAACGAAGACATGGTTAACCGGTACTGCGAGCCACGGTTCATTCAAAAACCAGCGGACCGATTCGTGGGTTTTGCCCACGGCACGAGCTGGGCTTTCTCGCTCGGTTCACCGGCGAAACTGTACCTTTCGGACGCCACCCGGGGGGCCCCTGGAGCACAAGTTGGGCAACCAATACGCCGACTTGCCAGCACTCACAGGAGTGCTGCACTTGCCTCCAAAAACCATCGCCACGATCAGGGACGCGACATTGTACAGTGGTGCCACTTTCCACTCCACGGAGGCACTCGAAGAGGCAATCGTGGTGCCATCCATCGGCACCGTCGCACCGGAAGCAAACTATGACGGTCCGAAGGGGGAGATTGTGAAGGAACTAACAAAGGCCTGAAAGACACTTCGAGCAAAGACCTGTCAAAGGGGCTGGATTTGGGACAACTCCAGACAATGATTGCCGAGAGCAATAAGTTCGAGTTGACGCCACTGCAATGGCTCATTTCAAGGCCATGGGCATCGGCTCAACGATCATTGTAATTTTGGCGCTGGGGATCGTGCTAACCCTATGATTTACTGCTGGTGCTGCAAAAGACCACGTAACCCACGTCGACAGTTTTTGCCCTACCGCACGCAACGAGGAGCTACATCCCGACGGACCCGCCACGGCGCCGTATCTGGACACCAAAGCCTTTGCCCAAAACGACAGAACGTCTTCCCACACTTGACGACGAAGACAGGCATGAGACTGCGGCCCCACTGCTGGGAACACCAGATTACTAACGAAAGACAGCTATAGTGCAGACGTAGACGCAAAGACGTGACTCCTCTGGATAATCTACACACTAAATGAACTTATGCCCTTACGTACCAATATCGGCATCCTATTAATCATTGTTTTTATGCCCCAGTAACATGATGTCATCACCAATGCCGCCTTTCATCCGCACCTACGCTGATGTGCTGGCCGGTCGCCCCCCCCACAGGGACGGTCGACTGGCAAACCAAGGAGGACGGGGTCCGCCACTTCTACGGCGAGGTGCCGTACCCGTGTATACTCCGCTGCTGCCACACCATCCACGGCGTCCTGATGGATGCCGATCGCATCCAGGTTCGGCGTAACTACGGGCCGGACCTGCTCGACGACCTACATCAGCACTTCCTGGCCCCACGCCGACGCCATGGTCAATGGAGGAGCCAGGGGTAAAGCTGTTGCTGCACGAATGCGTCGTGCAGTTTGGCAGATACCAGCATCTGCCGCTGACATTCCTTTGGAAGATGGCGAGGAGTGGCAGCGGCCCCCGGGTTTTTTAAGCAGATTCAACGGACCACCCCCTCCAGAGCACGTACAGCGTTCCTATTTTGTATTGTTAAGGCCACGGGCCAAGTTGACCATTGTTAGGGTCAAATTTAAATTCATACCTTTTTTGCGGAGCATTCGCTCTTAAAATGTTTACTTTAGCTTCAAGCAGACACACGATCGTGCCGAGCACGGGACCCGTGTCGCGATCAGTGTGCCTGCCATGTAATAACCAATAGTTTTAAGTCATATTGTAGGACTCTCAGTGGCAGTAACTTACGGGTGCCGGCCTGCGGTCGACACCCTAGTAGGAGGCGGGGGGATGATGTGGTACTCCCGCTCCACGTGTCAAGGTGACACGAACACGTGCACTGGACAATCGGCCAAAAGTGGCCGATGCGCACAAAGGGGACCCCAAAAACCTGCACCCTTAGAAGTAAACAAGTAAACAATTACGATGCAGGGGCAGGGGTCGCCCACGCCTGGTAGTGTGCCAGCACGCGCAGCTCCAGCCGAGCTGCGCGCCGCGCCCAGGCCTCGCCCACTCAAAGCCCGATGCATATATGATGGGCCACGGGCCGAGGCGGGGGAGTTCAGCTCCGACTCTTGTCCAGTGCAGTGCCTGCAAGTCTGTGCCCCGAAGCCCTGAGAGTCAACAACGTGCGCTCCGAATAAACACCGCTTTTGTAAGTAGAAGTGTTCTCACTGTCAAGAACCCTAAGTGCCCCTAAGGACTGGCCCCTCTGTACTGTAACTGCTAGTAACCAACATCTACACAGACAAGGGAAACCAGGCTCCACAGAAACCATACGTGATCGATGTTGACAATCTGACAAAAGAGGAGGTCTGCGCCAAAGTGAAGCGCATTTTCGACGAAATTAAACTAACTCGCCTGTAATCTGCGTTTTTCAGAATGTCCCTCCTAGAGTTTGCGACGCCAATCAAACTTTTAAAGTTTGCTGATCTATAGATTCACAGGCCATACGAATTAAAAGGCTTAAAAATATTTACGCACGAAAAACACGGTGAATCCGTCCAAGGAGAAATAATTGTCGATAGGCAGATTGCTTCAATTTTTTTCCAAAGTGTTACCTCGACGGAAGAGCCAAGTTTTCAAACATAAATCAAAGCATTTTGTCGGGCGTCGGATGGGCTCTAGTGTGGAGCCCCGAGAGGGCCCGAAGCTTTCGCTTGAAGTTTTCGTGCACGCCAAATCGACCCGGTGCGGAAAACTTCGGGAGAACAGCGCGAACTTCGGTGCATGCCTACGCCCGGAGTGGTCCAGAGAAAGGAAGTCAGATGACTGCACTGCATATCCAAGTGTAAGACAGATCGACACTTTAAAGCGTAGACCAGCTTGTACTACGCTTGCAAGTGTCGACCAGTTGTGTCCGACGCTTTGAAATGTCGACCACACACTGTCCGACACCTGCAAGTGTCGACCACAGAATGTCCAACGGCTGAAGTGTGGGGTCACAGTAGGAAAATCAGCGTAATTCGCCGTAGGACAAACAGTGTCCTACACATGCAGGCGTCGGATACAGTGTGGTCGACACTTCGAAACGTCGGATACAACTGGTCGACACTCGCAAGCGTTGGACAAACTGGTCTACGCCTTAAAGTGTCGACCTGTCCTACACTTGGATTTGCAGTGTGGTCTCAAAATAGTGATCGATTCATGTCTGTCTTGCGACTGCTAGCAGCGTTCGGGTTGGCTCCAGACTCGAACCTAGAACCTACAGTCTCGCCAACCAGAACGCAGCAGTGACAGGCCAGCCTCACCACCGTCTAGCGGTCCTGACCGCCGTGGTGGTAGCCAGACATCATCACTCTGCGTAGTCACACCCCGCACCGCACAACATTGTGCCGAGAAGGCGAGATTCCAGACAAAATTCCCGAAAGGGTTTCTTTAAATCCAACACCTGTAGCCCTAGTCTCAATAAACTGTCACCTAAAAATAAAACCTTGCCTGTAAAAAGGAAAAAAGCCGCCGCCAAACCGGCGTCGTCGCGGCCAAGCCGCCACGTGAGTGCTCCGTCAGTCCAGAGGCATGGTCCGCCTCCGCGAGTGTCTCCCGTCGCCTCGAGTGTCGCATTGAGTCTGTACGCGAGTGTGTCACTGAAGTTGGACCCCGGACCCCGAGCACGTAGTGGGACTTAGCCGTGTATTACGCGCAGTGAAGTGACAGTGAAACTACCAGAACCACCGAGCATTCAATCACCACCATGGACCCCCTTGCGCCTGGGGCCTTCACCCGCGCCCCGTGCGGGCGTGGGCACTTCACGCGGCGCCGGTCTGCCGCGGCGTGCTGCTGTCTTCTCTCTCTTTCTTCCCCTCTGATTGCCCTTCGCTCATCTCTCTCCGTCCGGGGCGGCTATCGTTGTGGCTGCGTTGCTGCTTGGGCTTTTGGGCCGGCCGCCCCGTTGCGTCGCGGCGTCACCCCTGACCTCCGCTCGCCGCGGGGGCGTGCTTTCTGGTATAAGTGGGAGCCGCCGTCGGTGGGGGCCCCAGTGTGGCCACGCCATGGTCCTCGTGGTCCTCCTCTTCGTCGCGGCCGCCGCGGGCGCCCCGCTGCCCAGCAATTCCACCCTGTCCTATCCGGCTTCGTACGGCTATGTTGGCGCGGGGTCGCCCTCGTCTCTGTCTGACGTAGCTGGAGCCGTTCGCCTGCTGCAGGGGGACCTGGGTTTCGCTGTCACCGGCGTCGTGACGCCCGAGTTGGAGGCCGTGCTGTCGACGCCCCGCTGCGGCTTGTCCCGGAGGACGCCTCCGCCGCGTGTCTCGCTACACGCATCTCGGCTCGCGGTTTCGCCGTACCCCTGTTACCTGGGACATTTCCGGGTATCATCCCCGTGGTTTCCCCAGCGACGAGCGGTTGAATCTGACGGCGACCCTCTCGTTCCTGATCATTGAGGCGGCCACTGGTCTGAGCTTTCACCGCGGGTCCGTCGCCGGCGGGCCTGTCGACATTCTGATTTCTTTCCAACCGCCCGACCACGACTGCGCGGAAGTCTTCCTGCCTACGACTCTGGGCCACGCCTTTGCCCCGGCTGGCTCCGGCCGGGTGCACATTAATGCCGATGCTGATTGGAAGTCCTTCGATCTGTATCAGACCGTCTTCCACGAGGTCCTACACAGTCTCGGTGTTGGTCATTCCGCTGACTCGAGTGCTGTCATGTACCCGCACTACGATCGGCCGCTCACTGGGGACGTGC